AGGGGTTTATATACAGGAAGCTGGACTACTCGCTTAGAGCCAAGGTCACGTGTAGCATCGTTACAGAACCAGATCTGTAACAGTCACGGGCTGATACAATGAGTCAAAGTAACAAGCTATGTGTATTACAAAAAGAACTAGTTAAGGAAAGAAGGATTCTCCCCGGAGAAATCCTTTTGTGAGGGCGCCAAGGCCCGAGCGTCTGCTCACGTGACGGCTATGCCCATTTAGGGGCATAGCCACAGAATGGGTTCAACCCATCACAGTGCTCATGGCGTGTAGACGCGAATGTGGATATTTGGAGTAGAAACAAAAAAAGAAGGTTTTGTTTGAGGAAGGGGAGAGATTGGAGAGAGAAGTGAGAAGAGGGTAAGAAGATGGGAGAGAGGATAAGTAAAGGATTAGAAAAAAAGATAGGAGAAAAGATAAGTGAAAAGATGCGTGAGAAGATGCGTGAGAAGATGGGAGAGAAAAGATGTGAAGGCAAGAAGGAGCCAGCCATTTATAGAGTACGAAGTCCCAGGCAAACCACAAAGAACGACGTCAAACACCCTAAAGTAAGACGCAAGAAAATGTCATTGCATGTGGGCATTTTGCATGAAGACGAGCAGACGGGATGACTGTCTGGGAATGAGTTCTGGCTGGCACAGGTTGTGAAAGTGCAGTGGGAACAGATTCGGGATCCCTGGCTGGGAAAGGGGACCTTTTCAGACCCCTCGTTAAAAGTTGACGATGTCTGGTGAGAAGAGTGAGCAGACCTGAGCAGACTTGAGCCGAAGCTGAGCCGGGCCTGAGCCAGCCTGAGCAAAGGCGGCGCGAGATCACGTAAGCTTGATGGTTGGGAGGTGTCGAGATTCCGGTATTGTAACAACAACAGGCGTACTAGCAACTTTCCGTCAATGTAGCTCAGTCGTCGAGATAGCTCTGTTTGCCTTACCTTGCCTTGCTTGCATGAAATCCTCTGCTCCTCAGGCAGACGGAACCTTGGTATAAATCGTCGCTTGGTGTGATTTCGTGTTTCCATGAATATTATTATTCCTATTGAGTATATAGCAGTCGTAGCCCCCGATACGACTGCCGTATCCCGCTTTGTTTCGTAGTTTTGTATGAACGATACCTTGCCCAGGGGAAGCATTTGGTGGCGTTGTATGATGGATAGCATGCTCATGAGGCACGCTAAACGTTGACTTCTAGAATTTGTATTGTCGTCCTTTTAGCCCTTTGAAACCATATATAGAATCATCGATCGACTACTATTACGGTATAGTATTGTGTGTATTCGAGTACGATATTTTATGGCAGACAGAAGCTGAATAAGTGCTTAATAGATCAGTATGTGCTTATATACGTTTAAGTTGGTAAGTCGTTTGGTGCGGCTCTTGCGAATAAGGATCGAAACTGGTCCCGAAGTAACCCTTGCCTTGCTTTTTCCAATTTTAGCCGGCGGCAGTCGTAGCCGAGGAGCCCAAAAGGGTCGCCTTCGGCTCACCTCTTATGACACCCTTCTCAGTCAGACTCGCTTACCCATAGCTCAGGCTATAGCAGCAACAGCTCAGGTCCAAAGACGGAAATGGAATTTGCTCATATCGAGATTCCGATATCGAACTACCTGTTATAGGCGCAAATGTTATTATGGTTTTAGAGGCCTTCTGGAAACGACCGAGACATACATCAAATTTTACCAGCTTATCCAAGCTCCTTCCTCTTATTGGGTGAATTAATTGTCCGCTTTATTTGCAATCCTCATGCCATTGCATACTTTCTTGTGGCGGCGACTGGTATTTTCTCCAAGCCAGCGTGCTAGGAGAAAGAAAATGTCGGTTCTCTGCCGACATTTTCCATGACTGAATGCATTCATTCATCTTTGAGATGCTTCAGGACCTTTGCCCGACCAAGTGCTAGCTCTTCGACTCGCAGAATTTGGATAAATGCGACGAGCGACCTCGTTAGGAAATACCATTGTGTCTAAAGTTCGTACTTAATGTTGTTAAACGACTTACAGTAAAGCTTGGAATATAAGATGATATTATTCTAGATTTTATGGAACAATTTATGAAACTCAAGACCTCCGAGATCAGCAATAGTACTGATACAAGGCTCTTTTGGTTGTGATTGGCTAGCAAGCGAAGCGCTACATTTTGATCACCAAAACCGATAATTAACGATGCCAAGCATCCTTGCACTCCCACATAAATAGCGTGGTGATGCCCGAGAAGCTGTTGAAGATCCTCGCGCAAAATGGAAGAAATGCGAATGGCGTCATCCTAGCGTACAGTTGCGAAAACCTGAATTTCATGAAAAGACATAACATAACCAGCAACCTTATTATGTAATGGCTCACTTCTCGTAGTCCTGCTTTATTTCTTTTCTTATGTACAAGTGTACACACTTCTCTTTCTTTTCTGTACCTCATATTCATTCGCAGCCTATCAAATCTGTTACCCATTCTTGGATTGCGATATGTTTGTACAACGTCACATTTTCTGTGCTCTCTCACTGGGCGTTGCAATTACCACAGTCTCGTCATTCGAGACTGAACCTTTCGCACCCCCAGTTTTCAATGTCACCGAGCTATCGGGGTTGCCACTCGCATCCGGACTCGTATTCCTGACGCCATTGAATCTCACTGCGGGGTCAGCTGTGATTATGACCGGCAGCGGCGACCTTGTCTGGAGCAGCGAGGCGAGCGGATCATACACCAATTTCTTAACTACAAGTCTGTACGGCCAGCCAGTTCTCACATTCTGGAATGGAACCGGAAACGCAAACCCTCTGATTTCAGGACATGGTTATGGCAAAGTGCAGATTCTCGATAACACCTACACGGAACTCTACAGTATATGTCCTGATCTCAACTTGAACTTTCCGCCTGCGGCAATAAGGTACGAATGCCAGGCGGATATTCATGAATCCGTTGTTACGGACAGAGGCACTTTGATTGTGACTGCGTATAATTATACCCAGGCTGATCTCACGTCTATTAACGGCACTGCTGATGGTTGGATTTATGATGGCCTAGTCTTCGAAATCGATATCCCAACTCAAGAAATCTTATTTTCGTGGAGTGCAATTGAACATGTTCCGGTCAATGCTACAAAATTACCACTGGCAGGTGCGGGGAGTAGCGCCGATCCCTTCGATTACTTTCACATCAACTCAATCCAACCTGTTGGAGATGGATTCTTAGTGAACAGTCGGCACACGTGGACCACGTATAAGATTGATTCGAAAGGTCAAATTGAATGGGAGTTTGAAGTCAGTATACACTATAAACGTGCAGTATGGGTTAAGAATCTCTAACCTTCACATAGGGATCGAATGGTGGAGACTTTGAACTTCCATCTGACGGTGAATTCGTGTGGAATCTCCACCTACCCATTTGCACACATCCTAACTTTTTTATCCTAGTCATGGCAGCATCGTGTTCGAGTTGAGCATGTGACTCCCGAGGGTCTCGTCCTCCATATGTTCGACAATGCCAACGCCAACAGAATCACTCCCAATCAAACCCTCGGCTTAGACTTCTATCTCAACCTGACTAGCAAGGAGGCAACTATTCTCAAGAGGCTGGCCGACCCTAACGAACCTCTATTTGCTACCTCGCAAGGAGCATACGATGCGCTCCCCAACGGAAACGTCTTTATGGGCTACGGTGAGCTGCCAGTATTCAAGGAATTCGGTCCAGAAGGAGAGTAAGTATAATCCGCTCTAACTCCCGGACAGTCGAGTTCCGGGAATATGTCTTGATGCCAGGCTTAACAGCTCGGCTGCGAAGACAGATCTTGAAACTGCAACTAATCAATCGACAGTGTTCGCATGTCCACTCAATGGGCAGGGCTGGATGCCTCTTCTTCATATCGTACCTATCGTCTAGATTGGACAGCCCAGCCGGCGGCATCTCCAATCGTGGTTGCGAGAGCAGGCTCGGCGTTTATGAGTTGGAACGGAGCTACGAACATCGCGGGTTGGGAAATATATGAAGGAGAGACTGCCGATGCATTGAATCTTACCAAGACGGTTGCCAATGATGGGTTTGAGACAAAGGTGTCTATTTCAAATTCTACGCAGTTTGTTCAGGTTGCAGCTTTGTGGGGCCATTATCATGGAAGTGCTCGTAATTCTAGCGTAGTATCTGTCTCTTGAGGCATGGATCCGAGAAGATGAATGAAGATACGCGTAAAATTCATAGATAAGTCGAGAGCATTATCAATTCCTAGCAGCACAGTGACGTCAATCCTGTTCAACACTTGAACAATATTTCGTCGGATATATTTTTAATTCGATTATTGAGGCTCGCCGACGGCTATGCAGCACTGAGCTTGAATACATTGCATTCCATAAAGAATGGGATATAGAAGAATATTATTCCAGAGATTGCGAAGATAGATAGGAGTATCTTAATTCACACTTGGGACTTAGTTGGACTAAGTTAGTTCGCTCATATTGTCCCACAGACTCTAAAACAACATCACCTCTTGTTTCACGGTACACATACCCTTTCTCCTTCTCTCTATCTACTCAATCGTTTTACGCCCTCGGGTTGGCCATAGTACATCTGAAAAGCTCCTCGAAGATCTCTCCCGTCGACGTCGTTACCACCTCATACTCTTTATTACAAAAACCATACAAAGCGTCGACTGTCGTCTCGTCCCCGGGTGAGTCATTACATCCGATGCTGCCTGTCGACGACCCCTGGTCCGCAGCGCCATACAACGCATCGTCGCCGGAGTTGCCGTTGTATTGTGTGATGAACTGGCAATCGAAGAAGCCGGGGTAGTCTAATGTGAGATCACCCATGGGCGTGTATCCATATGGGTAGTGGTAGGTAGACTCCTCCTCGGTGGTGTTGGCCGACACGCTCGAGATGATGGTTTCGTCTGTGACTGTTGAGCAATTGAGTCTCCCGTTATCAGCGAACCATTGGTAGGTATACGACTGGAATGCGACGCTCTTATCAAAGACGTAAATGTAGCAGAAGATAAGGTCGGGAAGAGCGGAGACCGTAGAGGTAGCGGTGGGTGTTGTAGAGGTGGGGGATGCGAGGCCGGTTGTTGACTGGATGGAGGTAGGAGTTGCGAGGCCGGATGTGGACTGACTGGTTTGGAACGCTGTGGAGGGAATGGGACCAGTACTGTAGTAACCTGACTCGGTTGAAGCCCCGATAGGATCTGCAGTCACTGGTATACCATTCCCACTTGGTATGTCAGCGGCGGGGTCTGGACAGACATCAATGTCGCCTGCGCAAGGATCGTCTCCATCGCCGTCACCGCCGGCATCGCTGGTAAGACAGCCCATATAAATGTAGACATTCGGGTCGAGGAAACCTCCTGTTGAGGAAAGTTGACGAACAGTCAAATCTCGAGGATGAACACGAGTTTGGTTTGTCTCAGCGTGTACGGACAATGTTTCGTTCCCACGTTTTGCCATGGTGGCTTGCCCTGGTGGGTCAATGCACATTTGATCGGTTGGAATGTTCGACCTGCCTGCCGGTCCAAAGCCCGGTGTCGGTTCCCAGACCTTAGTGATGTTGTTCCAAGTCTGGGCACCAGGCGATGGTAGGTAACAATAAGTTGGTGGTACAAAACCATACACAGAATGGTCGCCCACGTTCGGAGTGTCGTCAATTTCTGTACCTTCAGCATTCACATAGTACAGGAATTCCAACGACTTCCGATTCGTGCCAGACACGTCAAACCAAGGATCCCATGTCCTGACGCCATTAACCCAAAAATCGTTGACCAGTGTATACTGAGGTCCATAAGGCCAAGCGCAAAAGTTCTCGTTCACGAGGTCCTCTGGCAGGTAGTTCGTGAAGATTGGGTCGAATTCGACGCAATACACAATACCATCACGGCCAAGCGTACCCTGTTTTTTCGTCAATTCTTTCTGGTAATTGTTGTAATCAGTTGCGATTCCTTGGACCCAGCGTGCAAGTGAGGTTCCATGAAGTTGATTTTCCAAACGCCATTCAAATCCCGCTCCGGGAATGAGTCGCAGGACAGATGTTCCATCGTAGACCTGGCTAGGATTACCAGAACCAAAAGGATACTCTTCTGGCTGACACTTATCAAGTTCCCAACCGGCCGCTGGATTGTCAGTTGGATAGGAACGATAATGTCCCCAGTACCTGTCATCATGAGGGCGTCAGTAGCAGGTTCTGGTTCTGAAGAAGGTCTTTGGATTGTTTTGGCTTTTCTTTGGGTAACTTACCATGGTTTCGTATCATGAAAAGTTGACCCAGTGTGGTGGGTCAAGATTGAAGTCGCCCCTCTATGAAGTATGGCAGATTTGGCATTTCCACAAACATTGGGGTACAGCATATGTGGGCATGTATATGTAGCATAACATGTCCCTGCTGGCGGTTCTTTTGGGTTCTGACCTGGAGCAGGGCAATAATCAGCCCGCTTATTTTGGCTCAGCCCTAAGGAGTCGAGACCGCGGTTGAGTAGCGAAAGAACGCCTCCCGATGCTTGTCTCTTAGCTTTACTCGATGTTGAGCAGCAGGACTGTTCATTCTCCAGATAGCTCTGAACAGCTTCGATGTTGTCGTCTATGTTTTGTTGGCATTGGTCGAGTTGAGTAGTCGAGCCATCGCAGCTAATGGTCCCAGAGTTCGGATCAAAGACGGGATAGTTGCCATTGTCACACATTCCGGTGCTCGTTTCCAGTTCGCAGGGGTCAGATCCGTCATCAGTATCTCCCGGAGTGGTTGTAGGCTCGGGGTCTGGAGGAGGGCCATCGTCCACAGGTGGTGGCCCGGAAGGGCTCGGGCAATCGCCCGCGATGTGAATGCCAAAAATCTTGATGCATGGAAAATGGAAAGAAGGAAGTTCCGGTAGTTGTGGCCATTTGAACTCAACCCAAGGAATTTCAGGAACGTTCCAGATAATTATAGCTTGACAAGTTGGGCAGGGTAAGAGAACTGGGACGATTGTTGTGGACGAGTCGCTTCCCTAACGACACATTAGTATAAACTTTTATGATCGACTTGGGAGCCGAAGGGTAGAACCGGAAAGATGAAAGCAATGTGTTTGACCACTGATTTTTTTTCCAGCATCGCTAAACTTTTCTCAAGGAGCTCCCGAGTAGCTCGGCTTTTGAGATGAAAAAGGGGGTAAAAGGTTGTTCTCAACATACAGTAGTTGTGTACCAAATGTTAGTTGTTATAGGGAACTCAGTAAATGCCGTAAATGACACTCCAGGAGGGAGTGTGGTCATAGTAGACGTCACGGTGGTAGGGGATGGTCCGACCGTAAGCGTAGAACCGTCTGTGGTAATTGTCTCAAGCCCAGTAATGATCGGAGACCCTGAGGGAAAGGTTAAAGTAACGAGAGAGCCATCAGGCTCGGTCAGCGTCTCTGTGACACCACCACCTGGGTTTATGGTTCCTGTTGGAGCTGGTCCTACTGTGAGCGTAGAGCCGTCTTCAGTGATTGTCTCAAGTCCTGTAATCACTGGCGAGCCTGAAGGGAAAGTCAAGACAATGGTGGATCCATCAGGTTCTGTCAGCGTTTCGGTGAAGCTGCCAGCTGGTCCTACCGTAAGGGTAGAGCCATCTGTGGTGATGGTTTCAAGACCAGTAATCACCGGCGAACCTGAGGGTAGAGTCAATGTAATTGTGGAGCCGTCAGGTTCCGTTAGAGTCTCTACAGTAGCAGTAGGTAAAGGCGTAAGGGTGATCGTCACGCCATCCGTTGTGATCGTCTCAAGTGAGGTAACTTGAGTTGGAAGCCCGGTAGTAGGAAGTGTGCCTCCGCTTTCAGTAGGAACCGAGGCACCGGCTCCAGCAGGACACCAAGATGGGGCAGGAGGGCAAGTGGGTCCAGGACTCCCTTCAGTGACTGTGCTGGCTGGAGATGGGGCGAGCACTGCTGGTGCTTGTGCAGACTCCTCGTTCCCATTAAATGCAGTGACACTCCACTCATAGTGCCACGTGCCAGGAAAAAGCCAATTCGAGTCTGCACAAGTTCCATGAGTGATATTACCAGCCAGCTTCCATGGCGCATTTGCCGTGTCGACACTTCGAGACCAGAGGTGATAGCCTCCAGCAGAATCTGACCCAGTCCAAGTAGCGCTATAATGAGATCAGAAAGTCAGTCTTTCCTGGTTAAGGCGGGTATGAAATAAGAGATGCTCACGTACTGAATAGTGGTAGGGTCGTTGGAAACGACCACAAGGTCTGTTGGAACAGAAGGTGTTCCGGCACCTGGCACAGCGTTATTGGCGAAGGTTGGCAGTCCTTGGCCATTCTCATTCCAGGTAACAGGTGCAATCAAATAGCTTTTCCCGGGCACCAAGCCAGTAATAACTGCGGGCGAACTAGTGAATGCTGCTCCTGAGATGTACTGGCAATCAAGGTAGTACGAATCCCAATATATGACATTGTACTCAATGATGGAGCCTAGAATCAACGAGCACGAATTAGCGACGCTTTAAACATTGCACTCGTACATGAATATGTACCCGTTGGTGTGTGATTTGTGTGTACGTACCGTCATTGGCACCTGAGGGAGCATCCCATGTGACCGTGAAGCCATCTGCAGTGGGCTCCACGACAACATTCTGTGGTGGATCAGCGAGTTGCGGCGTGGCTTCTGCTGACAATGTCGATGTGTACCCTCCCACTCTATTGTCGCCACACTGAGCACGCACCGCAACGGCATATGTCCAGCCCTATGCGCAAATTAGCAGGGGCTTTTCCAACATTCTCACTCTGAATGTCCCAGAATTGGTGACGACTTTTGACAGGAAACACCTGTCTCCAGGCACAGACATTGGGCCTTTTCCTAGCTTCGCAGGACAGAAAAATGAACGAAAATGATTAAAAAAATGCATCGAGTAGTGAGGAGGAGAGTAGAAGAGCTGAAGAAATTGCCCTTTGACACAAAGTCGCTGACACTTGTCTGACTTTTGCCGATCAGTTCCCGAGCCGCAATGCAAATGAAATGGCATCAGGCGCTCTTTCTTCAACTTACAGAGAGTGGCCACTGCGAATCCCATCTATTGAAAGAGGAACTTGTTGCGGAGAAACCGTTTCCTCCTCCATTGATAGAAACAGAAACATCATAGCCATATGCGCCATATACTATTGTCATTTCAGCAGAATTCAAAAAGAACAAGTCTTATGTTTAAAATCAACTCACCAGCGTCCCAAGTAGCTGTCACGCCTTGCGGAGAGGAGAAAACCTGAAAGTTTGACGGGATTGGCAGAGGACGCGTCAAACTGGAATCATCCTGAGCCGGAACTGCGATAGGAGTGGTTCCCAACTGAAAATCATTGACCAGGGTCTGAGAGAAAGCGTTGGCAATTTGGTACTCGCCCCAAGCATTCGGGTGCAAGCCGTCGTAACCTATGATTCATTAATATTGCGGTACAGGAGAGAAAGAGGTCACAGGAGCAGATACCGGCCGGGCAGCCGCCAGGTTGGCAATCCTAAACTCGATTTAGTACATGGTCAATCGTTATCTGTCAAGGTGCTACCTACATAGTTCTCCTCGAGCTGTACCAGAGAAATGGGAGACTTGGTGGTAGTCCATTGTGCGATGTATTCTGGAAGTAACTGATTATAGATCTCGGTATTATCGACGAGATCTTGGCGACCACCCAGAAAGCTTCGTTGTGGTACATTAGCAAGAGCGAACTTCACGTTCGGATTTGCTGCTCGAGCGTTTGTCACGAAAGTGGAAACGCTAGAGATGGTCCCAGGAGCATCGCTATAAAACCAGCCCATATCGTTAAATCCCAACATGAAGAGAATGAGATCCGCGGGCGTTGACTCGAGCACGCCCTGGATCAGGCCTTTGTCGACGGCTACAGCTCTACCTAAATACGATCTTGATTAGTGGGTGTCTCACCAAAAAAGCTAAATCTGCTCCGAGCTAACAGTACATACCCCTACAAGGTCAGCTGTATCCGTGAGAAATTTAGGGGTATATTATTGCTTACCAGACAGCAAAGTGGTTAGAATTCGATAAGAAAGCTGAGTCCACATCTGCAGCATATCCGCCGTTGGTTCCAATCATGGATGATGGAGCTGTTTCGCCATACAAAATCGGCGGCGTTGGTGGTGTTGCCGGATCTGGTGGCACCTGAAGTCTGTCCTTAGTATCGCAATGGCCTCGTAACGATTATATCGCGCAAATACATACCGTCCCAGTATAAGGGCCAACCATTTCGACATCAATGTTGTTCTGCTGAAAGAATTGCCAGATTCGGTAGCGCCAAGTGTAGTCACCTTCTTTACCTGTAGCGTTGCGGGTAAGCCTAGGTCAATACGCTCATAGCGACGTTAACATAATAGTTGCATGGTCATACCTTGAGACATAGAGTCGCCAACAACCATGACTCTGAGAGCCGATTGACGGCCAGCGAGAGAAGACCCAGACGACCCAGATACGTTGGTCGATGAGATCAGGTCGGCAATCATGCTGTCTGCATCTGGGAAGGCAACGCCAGCCTGTATAGGTGGCATAGCAGGCGCGAGTCGACTTACAATCTCGTATTCCGGGAAAGCGGTGATATTGGTTGGTATGGGAATTGCGGGTACTGTCAATCAAAAAGTCAATTTCCATGTTCAAGAATGTCCCAGAAGCCAGAGAGGATCCTCGAAGAGTCCAAATAGTACGTTCTTGAATGCTATTTGGAATATCTTGAATATTTCTCGAGTAGCTCGTTCCAAAGACGAAGAGAAGATCAGGCTTCAATTCAACGTACCTAATGACACGTTAGTATGGACTCTAAAAATTGTATTTGGAACCAAGGAGCAGATATGAAGAGCTGAAAATCTTTGATCTGGGTAGATCCATTCTTCATTTCTTGAATACTTCCCGGCTCCGAGCACGGTAGGGAAAGAACGGTTATCTTTGACTTACTGTTTGCAAGCTGGGTCAATTGAAACGAAATGGAAGATGCTAGCTGCACCGCCGAGGAGAATTCGATGGTACTGGGGGCATCTATCGTATCAATTGTCGCACTTGGAGTGCTGCTCATCGTTGTGTTGGCTGCCTGAACAGGAGCAAAGTTGAGGAGAAGAAAGAGGACACCAAGATACGAGCCATAACAGGCCCGCCACACGGTCACAAAAGTCCTAGACATTATTGACATGAAAATGAAGTCGAATCATCCCCAACAACGTGGCATGGCACCATCTCTTGTACTCCCCCTTTTACTTTCCTCGACGACCAGCTTCGCATGAATACTGGACTTAATCTGACTGCCACAGGGGCAGTCCTATTTCTCCAGCTGTGCCACATGGTCTAGATCATTTAGACAGTTGGGATGAGGCTGGGTATACACACTCCTTCTCAAGAGACTGAACGGCGCAGTGGGACCGTTAGATCCGGAGGACCGGGCGACGGGTGGTCTGGAGATGGAGGTTGAAATTAGGGCTAACATTGATTCGGCAAACGTTCCCGCATCGTCAGCTGGATTCAGAGAAACTCACTCGTCGTCGATGGACTTCATGGCCGATATCAAGGAGTGGCAGACAGACGATGTCCCGCTACGCGGTTGAATTGACTGTACTTAGCTAAAGGCGTGACTAAGCCACATATCGCGTGGATATGTTCCAAGCTCACAGATTATTATCACGGCTTCATAAACCCGCACGATATATCAGACTGCGATGAGATTGGTTGAGCCCATACGACGTAGACTATTTGATGCAGAATACCTTCCGCATACGGAGTGCGTTCAAAAAATCCAACATTTGTGCCAGGATAATTAGCGACGTACTAACTAAAGTTCCATCACATTGAGGATAATCCAACATCCGTGCCACACATCAACCAACATTTCGGCCGCACTATTGACCGTTTATTGAATATTTAAAGAATGCATCGTCTACCGAAGTCACGTTGACTTGCTTTGCCTCCGGAACAAAGATCAGATTGCAATAATGCAAAGTAGCCGCTGTCCTGTGCCGCCGCCCCCTTAAATGCGGCGTTCGTTGGCGCCACTACTGTAGCTTATCACATACAAGCATCAATTCTCGGAGAAGAGTCCGTCGCGGCTCCGAAGCAAGACCACGAAGAGCGTAATGTGGATCTCGAGCAAATATGTCTGAATATTTCGATGGGAAAAGGTATTGTTCTTTTGCAATAGGATATCATGGGTCACCAAAGCATCCCGGAGAGAGAGACCATGAAGCCCTCGAAGTCATTATCTCTGAGTTGCTGGTGGTCTATTCTCGTCTTTCTAGTTCTTTTTGCGGTCTTAGACACATTATGCCATATGTCTTCAGACTACGATCCCCATCTCGTTCGTTTACACGAAGTTTTAACCAACTTCACAACCAGAGGTCAGGCGACAGTGGAGCTTTTCGCACCACTGTCCACTATCATTGGTTCGACGCCCACTGGTCAATCGTTTATGACAATAGCATTTGACATTGCCTGGATGTTGGTTGGCCTTGCGTTTTTGAGGTTGCCACTGCAAGCACACCAAATTGCGCAAGTGGGGAGCAAATTCTGGACAAGCACGTTTCTGTACATCTCGTTTGCGAGTGTCTGGCTTTCTACTTCCAGCAGGCAGCAAAATTCCCTCTCACTTGTATGTACCACTTGACTTCTGAAGACAATACTGTTGCGCTGACTAACCACTTGGAAGCCGAACGGAGTGGCGGATGCATTTTTGACCCTGGCTTTTGTGGCCACAACGGGTTGGGGACGTCTCCCCGGATATTTGAGGGTACTACTTTTCTTAGGTCTCGGAGAAGCTCTTGTTCTCACCGGCTATGCTCTCGGCTGTAACTTCATCGACGCAGTAGTAGCATACTTTCTCATATTCGTTGCTCGTGTGAGGATAATTATCCGGAAAGTAGCAAACGTGCAATGCTCTCCGGTGAGTCTGCCCAACCTTCATTGTTGTCAATATTGGGATTTGACAACCTGTATATAGGTGTCTATTGCTTACGCCGGAATCTCGAATCTGTTTATATCAATCATAGTATGTCCAATCATCGCCATTATCGTCATTGGCGCACTCCTCCGTAAGTCTACAAACACTCCTCTTCCCCCTTATTCTTGTAAGCGAGCCACCCGAAAACTCAAACGAGCTGAAGTTGAGCTGCAAAAGAAAAACTGGCTCGGCTCCCAGAATAAAGCTATATACTGACTTGTCTATAAGCCATATCCGAATCATCAGCTGGAGGAAACTACAACCTCCGCTATCTCTCTGCTTCTGCTCGTAGGGACCTCACTCCATTTCCGCTCGCTCGATCTTCGGCACAAGCTGGACCTCCTTTCGCTCCGCATCATGACACGGCATATACTCTATATGTCCCAGGAGCTGGCTTCCTCTGGAGCGATTCCATGGTCTGGGAGCAAAGTCTGCCAGCAGAAATTTCGCCAAATTCTACCGAACACTATGTTGATGAGACGGGACAACTCTGGTCCATCGAAGGATCTCACCGTGTCTTCTTCCAAGACAAATTCATCGAACGGTACCTTTGGGAAATAAAGCAATTCCCACAACAGACACGGAGATGGCGCACTTCACAGAAAACAATCCATTCTGGGAGTACAGTGCGCTTGTATGATTCAATAGCGGCTCGATATCTCTGCGTCATACCCGGTGAGCGAGTAGTCAGTGAAGCGGGCTATTTCAGCATGGCAGAAGACGGCATAAAGGAACCAAAGAATGACAGGACAAGAGTAGGGTAAGTTCACTTTCACACCATCTCCGCCGAAGGTTTTACCGAGCAATGCTGAGAATATCGTTCAAAGAACACTTGCCAGACCTAGCTCTCCGCATTGTGATTGGACAGCTTACTATGATCCAATGGAAGATATTGGAATCAGCTTTTACAGCCACGAGCACGCATGTAGCCTCGGGACAACCTTTCGCTCAGTGCCCGACCCGAATCTAAGTCAAAGCAACGATACTGTACTTCGCATACTCAATCTCAAGATCGAGGCGAGCTGTACGACGAGTGCTAGCAAGGCGAGTTCTCGACTGTTTATGGTTGAGAGCCCTACAGCTCGGAATCATAAGTCACCTGGAAGTGCAAACGGGAATTTGAAAGCAAGGAAGTCCCCCACCGCCAATGACATTGGATACTTCCGGAGAGCGATTCAATATCTCGACGCACGCCGTAGACTGGACCACTTCCGAAAATACCATAGTCATCTCCAAGAAGAGGAGACTGGAAGAGTTGTCATTGATCTTGGAGGGAAGAAACGATCACTGGATCTTTGGAAGCCAGAGATCTTGATATGCAGCTTGTATGTAGTTGTCTGTGTACTAGACGGACTTGCTCGCCATCGACTCCCCGGAAAACTGTCGATACGTTCTCCAATGACGGGAGGTGGATTCTTTGTATTGTGCCACCTTGTTTCATACTACCTACTCGAGATAAAGATGCTGCATTCATCTCGTGCAGCTGGACTGGCAAGCCTATATAGTTTGGCAGAGTACGTGACAGGAATGTTATAGTATAAAGCAGCAGAATTGCAGAATCGTCAGATGAATGGCAATTGACAGCTCCTTATCACATTCCTCCTGCTCCTCGTCCACCTGTTCCTCTTCCACCCCTACCACTTCCCGTCACAGGTCTCATATCACGTACAATGTCTTGCTCGGTCTGTTCTTTGAAGTGACCGTAAAAGCCCAGAAACTCCTCGACACTATCGTAGACCTCGCTCCCCCAGTGATCGACGTGAATGCCGTACCTCCACTTGAACGGTTCATCATTTGCCTCTACACGACGGCAATACAACGCAAAAGATCCACCAGTCTGTGGACCACTGCCAATCTGGAACGCAACCGCAATGTTCCATTCCTCCCATACGAACGTCAACTGATCCGTTGTTTGATCAGCGCTGCCTGAGTAATCGTACCGGATGGGCACGATGACGGCTTGTGCCATTTCATCCACCATCTGAGCATGCTTGATCGGCGAAATAAAATCGAATACCTGCGCATCATGGTGGTAGGAAAGTCCGGGACCCGTAATACCGCTCACCAATGTACAAAGGTAGGCCAGATCCGCTGGAGGAAACTCCGCTACATCAATGATTTCTCGGACGCGGGTGCCGACTTTCGCGAAATATTCCTCTCGCTGTTCTAGGTTGACGGGATAGGACGAGACGCCTTCTAGGTATTTGGTTCGCACAAGCTCAGCGATCACGTTGTCGTCGTCAAGCAATTGTTGTGGAGAGACGGACTCGGGAAACTGGATTCGCAGTGCACGACTGCATTCTCGCATGCGCATTGTTTGGGCTGTATCTTCTGACCAATTCCCTGGAACAGGTTGCGCTGCTACAGCTCGAACATAAGCGCGGATTAAGGTGACGTTGTGCTGTGATACTGTCTCGCGGTACTGTTGGAGTGCGGACTCAATCCTAGTTCGGCGCTCTTGATCCACATTGTCCTGTAGCGAGAGGTTCTCCATACTGCCTATCGTTGCTGTGATGGAAAAATTGGTGAAAAGGTAGAATCAAGGTGAGAGTGAACGTTTCTATCGATGCGGGGTTCTCGTTTCTGTATTGATACATTACCTAGGTAGTTATCGCTAGGCGTGCTTTGGAGGCCGTCCTCGATAAGGATCCATATGACTTCCGCTTTCTCAAATCAATAGCGCTTTACCTACGCCGCAACCTTAACAACGTAGCATTGCGGCCATAAGAGAACGTACTTATATCTCGATGTTGGTTCTAGTGTTGAGCCCGGGAAACCTAACCTCTCTAGTAATAGCGCTTCACTTAACTGCGCCTCTCCCGAGCATCAATCACTCGCGCGAGCCAGCTAAGCGAAAGTCGATAATTGTCCCCACGCCGCACGGCAATTAAATCTGACGCCAGCGCAATAACGATCTACTCATTGGACAAGAGAGCCGAGAGCCGAAACGAGGTCTTATGCAAACAGATAATCAAGTTTCCACAGTTTGAGGAAGATCGGAGTTGAGCATTCTCCTTTCTGTCGCAAGCGAGTCTGAAAATCCACTCCCGAGGAATGGCGAGTTCTTTGGACGAGTTCGCACTTCGCCCTATGCTTGACGTATGCAAATACATACACTGACGGGACAGGAGTGCTCGGTTTCTTCTTCGCAGAACTAGCAAGCTAGCATTTGCAATGAAAAAATATATAAGCTCTGTGGTCAGAGCCATAGTGCTGAAAGGCAAATTACCATTGCCGTACATTCACACCAGTAGCTTCTCTTTGATTGAACGAGTGGAAACGGCAGAACCATGAGATCTTTGGATGGTGATTGGCAAATTAAAAAAGACATTGCCATTCATCAGATCATACATAGATGATTCCTTTTTGGTCGATGAACCAGGCCTCGATGCGCTTTTGATCTTTGTAGTGAAGAAAAGCAAAAAAAAGAAAATCATTGCCATTCTCCAGACCAGAGATCTCTCTTTGATGTGCGAGGTGTGTAGGGGAAAAGAGGAAGATGAGGAAGGGAGATCTGAGTTTATATAATAGAATTGTGGGTATGGTTTATTGTGTGGGTGGCCTAGGTACTTCGTAACTGTACCACGGGCTTTCATTGGTCAGATCATGCCCATACATGACGCACTCCCATTTCTCAACCACACAATATTTCCATCTAGCTATTAGTCTAGGAGAAACAGCAGAAGCTGATTCAATTGCACCAAACGACGTGTGTGCTTCCAGTGCAGATTTGGGATGCGTGAAAATTGTGAGATTATTTTTGAGCGTCACTAAGCGAAGCGCGCAAGTAGTGCAATTTTCGCTCGCCGTAGCTAGTGTCTCCAGCGACAACTTCAGACTTTCTCCCTTCTTGATTTCTCTTTTCCAAACAAAACTCTTTCGCTTCAAGTGCGCAGATGAGCATCAAACACTACAAGTCTGGCAGACAGCTCGACACGTGAAGTATGACATCACCTAGTCATGCTCACGAGGCCCTTTAGTGATACGACGAGCACTGGTCTATTTTCGGTGTCCGACGAAGAGTGGATTCGCGAATGAACAGTCTTCGGCGATTTACCTCACCCCAAAGATCAGGCTTCAACATCTCTTTGGATCAAGTCTAAAACGTGTCAAGTCAAGACCAAGAACCACCAAGGAGCTAGAATACTTTTATGTTCCTTCTGGAAGTCTTCCATGGCATTGAGACCTATTTGAGCGGAGAAGTCTTCGCTTATCAGTTTGATCAACTCCACTAAACATGCCGAAGAAAAATTTCAGCCTTCCATGCCTTCCCAAAATCCTTCCATTGTTTCGTTGATTTGATTGACCGCTGAGCGAACGTTCACAAGCTAGCCTTACGAAGTCTCACGTACTTTAACATGTGATAGCAGCTCCTGTAGCATTCGGTGCCGTCGCTGATTGCTCCTACGACTACCGCTGTTCTATATGCGGATCACGCTTCCCACGTTCCTGAACATCTCTCCCCGCGCCAAGGATGATTCTATTCGTCAAATCACAGGCATACCCTTGATCAAAATACACCGACTCAACTCAGCATTGGCTGGCAAGGCTAAGAAGGAGCAATGTCTTAGATACAACAGTACACACGAACCCTCGGCCACGCTCTGAAACTCCACGTTGGCGGCGGTCTAAAAAAGCTTCCGTTTCCCCAGATCTCAGAATCTCATCGGTGGCTTAGATTTCTCGGACGCCTAAAGATAGCTGAGTTGTTGGATATTTAATCGGCCATTCCCCACGTCGAGATCACCGACAACCACCGACAAACCATCTTCGAGATACACAGCACCGGCGAGTCGAGTACAGAAGATTACAATACCCCTTTCGAAACCTACTCTTTTTCTCACCGACAACCCTTCACATCAACATGCATTCTCCACGCTCACCCCGCTCTCCTCGATTCCGAGGCTCGCGCCCCTCGTTCCGCCCTTCAGCACCCCGCAGCCGAACATCCAGCTACTCCTCGGGAAGTAGCAGCTCCGACGACCTGCTCGAAGATACCACCCTGTTTACCGACACCATCGGAGGTGTGACAATTCATCTCACCAAGTTTGGCGGACCAGGTCAGTCTCCCCGCTGCCGAGCATGGAAAGCAGACATGAAAGTGTATCTCGATGCAAAGGGAATGGGCGATTATATCCGCTCCGATATGCAGAGCGACAACTTCCATTATATCGAGGATGAGGTCTTGGCAAAGATGGACAGAGAAAGAAAGGCAATGATTTGGTTCAGTGTCGAGGAGGATGTCCGCAGAGAACATCTGATGGACCTATGCGACAGGGACTCTACAAGCGAGGATGTATGGAAGAGACTCCACGAGAGGCTCGGAGCAGATAAGCCATATGAGCCTCTGCCACCGTTGAGCTTGGAGGATGAAGAGTAAAGGCTTCACCTGGGCCAAGACAAGTTTTCTATTTCTATCGAACGATCAGATATCATCTCTATATACTACACCTCGCGGAATCCGCATTTTCTTAGGATGTTTGTCATAGGGTTGCATTCAAGGCATGGAGTTTAGGGGCTTACGGTACAATGTACCAACATCTGGGGACATTTGGGCTTCACCTTACGGACTCTCATTCACGAGACAAATTTCATGTCTCTCTCATTCTTAGCATTTCTTTGCAAGGAGTATCGCGGATATCACCAATATAAGCATGATAAATCCAACTCGAGTTTTCCAGCATGTCTTCGTTTTCTTTATACCTGTCCATTTGCGAACAGAGTCCTCCCACCATCAATCGCAATACATCTCCCATCGACATATGCACCGGCCTTACTCACAAGGAATAGTATAATACCTGCAAGGTCGTCTGTCTCTCCAGCTCTCTTTGCAGGTACTTTCTGTACCAAATCTCCAAAGATATCAGCCCCTTTCCCTGTACCCATCGGATTCATATTGCTAGGAACAACTGTACGCTATCAGCCCTCCAATCCCCGTTCTATCTGTCGACATTTCAGAAATTGGAGGAGAAGCTTACAACCAGGATTGATACCCACAACTCGAACATACCACCTCGCAAACTTCGCAGCAAGCAAACTGACCAGATGATCAGTCGCAGCTTTCGTGCTCGCATAGCTCATCATATCGACATTGGTCGCATTATGGAGACTCGCTATCGAGGACGTAACCACCACAACCCCGCGCCCATGATCACGGCCTTTGCTTCCATCCGGCATATCGATGTCACCCGCAGCAACAAGGAGATCCAGGAGGGCGACGGAAAGATAGTAGTGTGCCATGGTATTGATTTGGAACGATCGCGTCCAGTCCTCGTGTTTTGAGGACCAGAGAGAAGTCTGTAGCTCAGTGAGTGAGGCGGTCAGAGGATTGCATGGAATGGGAGGGTCTCGTCTGATGCCGGCGTTGGAAATCAGGATGTCGAGATGGCTTTCGTGGGAGCGGAGTTGTGTTGAAACTGCTTCGATTCCTTCTTTGGATGTGAGATCGCATGGAAAACTGTGGTGCACTCAGCGATCGTTTCATAAGGAGCCAAGATCCGGATCAGGAGTGTTTTGGTGGGAAGCAGTGGGAAGTTATCGGTAGAGAAAACATGATAAAATATGAGTCCTTACCCATAGGCAGACCCGCCAGAACTCTTTCCTAACTCATTCAATTCTTTTTCAACATCAGCTATAGGATCGCTCTCCAGCCCACAAACATAGACGCGAGCTCCATTAGTCACGAGACCCTGGAGCGAGACGGATCAGCAACGGCCAGCAGTGTTGCGAGAAACAAGGAAAGACGTAGAACCTTCGCACTCATAAGCCCGATGCCACTTGTTCCTCCAGTCACCAAAGCAGTTCGTCCCTTGACAGAGAACAGATTTCCGATTTCGGTTGAAGTCATGTTTACAACTCGCTTGAGGTGTGCCCCTGACTGACAAGCGAAGGATCGCGATGATAGGTATGTGCTAAATAAATATGCACGAATGTGGCAGACCAATGAAGGGTGAGACGCAGACTTTGAGGTCAAGAAAGTGATGTTGATACTTGGTCTGGCCTAGATCGAAGCAGAAATGAAAAGGAGTGGTCAAGAGTGGGATCATCGACTTGAAGCGTCTGACCTAATCTTATCGCCGAAAGTTTCGATATCTAAATCCCGGATATCAAAAATCTTTTTTATTCATAGAACATGTTCTCCATATTTCATTTTGCTTCCAGCAAGATGAAGTAACAAAGAAGACAGTCTTGAGTCTTTTAGAGCGGTGTTGTACCAGGAGGTCCAGAACAATGTTTTATTTCAAAGTAAAATAGCCTCACTCGTCAAACCGGATGCACCAACTCGTCAGAGTGGAGAACAAGTGCGATGCAACCTCAAACATGAGTGGAATTTGTGATTATATATCTTGCTCATTTGCTTTCTAAGCAGAATCTTGTCATTCTTCTCTCTGCTCTCGCAATGTTCGAGAAAGTCTTGAAAATGTCAAAGGTCTCCCCTCTTGCCCTCAACTGCTTGCTGGAAAGATCAGAGCGTAGATATAAGTTTCTCTTTTTTATAGCAAGATGTCTTTCCAACTTACCCCCGAGTATATCTACGCCTTCCTGGGTCCAGCAGCTCAAGGAGAATGGACACCATTCCTCGATGGTCTGGATCCGGACGTGAACTGGATGATCGGAGATCCAACCTTCAACGAACAACATCGAACTGGGACATATGTAATCTTCTCTCTATCTTCAAAATAGACTGCAATGCTAATCTGTCCACAGAATGTCAAAACCTGGCGTGAAATAGTCAACAAACCCCTCATAGCACGGCTTGCTAGCCCTCTAACCATGAAAATCGAAAGTCTGGACATCATTGGGCTCAAAGCGATCGTCGAAGCGAGCGGGTCTGCAACACAGAAGTGAGTAGATGTCGAACAATCTCGCTTGTCATTGCTGATGTGAAACGTAGGAATGGGAAGCAGTATAATAACAGGTGAGAGCTCACTTAGAAGTTACATATATGCTTACAGACATTCCAGATACTGTTGGATCTTGATCTTTGATGGAAAGACTGGCAAGGTGGTCACTATTAGAGAGTATATAAATACTGCAATGTTGAAAGAGGTGATGGAAACGAACGAGATTTGAAGTTAATGCAGCAGCTCTTCATCATTCCTCATTAGCTGATTGACAATGGTAAGAGGATTCTACCGACACCCAAAATTAAAGCCCTCATTCTCCATCGATTCCTTTTCGTGTTTCTGCTTACGCGTAAAAGTATCCCTTTTCACACCGGACTTTCGCGTCGTGTGATGTTAACTCGAGCTCAATACCACAAGCGGATGGAAGACCCGTCCTCGGATATAGCCCACATCGCGACAATTATTTTACTATACGCCACAGCTATATCCGACGAATATTCGTCCGACTCAATTTGACATTCGCTAAATCAATTGGTTTGAAAAGCACTCTTGCTAAACCTAAAACCTTGGCCGCTTACATTCTTGCGCAAAACCTCTCACTTTCGGATGAGGGGTCGAACATTCATATATTGCAAGTCATGTGGTTTCGTATAGGTGTTTAGACTACTCGCTCCTGTTGGCCATGAATTTGCTTTCTCATATAATAAGTACTCGAATGTCCACGTTCGATTCATTTAGCCTGACTTCGCGGCTTCAGATTCTTATGGAAGTCTTCTTAGCCGTGCCGGAAGGGTAGTGTGATTGTTGTTGCTATTGACTTTGTATCATTTTCGCCATTGCTATATAAAGGGCAGAAGTTCAAGATGGACTTCCAAATCTCCTCATTCGTATTGCTTTTTTGAATATCATTCTATTTCCTCAGAAAACTAAACTCAGCGCAAAAGATGCTATCTCAAACACTTTCTAACATTATCATTGGTCTTTACCTTCTGGCAAATCAAGTCAATGCCAGTACGCTGTTCAAATTTCGAACTATTGCGAGCTATGACTGACAAATTTTAGCACCTACTCACTTCGGGTACCTCCTCTACCAAGGCTTTGAAGTCCTCGATGTGTTCGGTCCTCTTGAAGCACTGAATGGTCTTGCCGGCCTCTACGATCTGAACCTAACCATCGTCGCCGAGACAATGGATCCCATCTCCAGCCTACCACCGACTTCTTGGTTCAACGGCAACAAGATGAATTCGACCTTCTCCGAGCATGTCCTCCCAACTCACACTTTCGAGACAGCTCCTCCACTCGATGTGTAAGTCCATCCGTCCATCCGTCCATCCATCCTGTATTAAGGCACAACTCAACTCACCTACCCAACAGACTCATCATCCCCGGCGGCAACGGCCTCTTCGCCCCAGCCCCCTTACTAGACTCCACCATCCAATTCATCAAAGCCCGCTACCCCACCCTCCAATACCTAATCACCGTCTGCAACGGCGCCGGGATCGCCGCTCGCGCAGGCGTCCTCGACGGCAAGCATGCTACGACCAACAAAGCGGTCTGGGACCAGACCATTGCACTGGGACCCAAGGTCAAATGGGTCGCTCAGGCGCGATGGGTCACGGATGGGAATGTGTGGACTTCGTCTGGTGTGTCGGCTGGAATCGATGTTATGCTTGCGTGGATCTCGGCTGTGTATTCGGAGGCCAATGCTACGGGGATTGCGAATGGGATGGAGTGAGTTGATTTCTGTGAAGGTGATGTTTTGAGGAAGATAATGCTGACTTTTCGATTCGTCTAGGTACGAGAGACATATGAACTCGACCGATGACCCTTTTGCGACTCTGCACGGTCTTACAGATGCGAACAACTCGACGAACCCGAGTCGACGCTAGGAACCGGGGCACCATTCAACGTCAAGTTGTAGAGATCCACAACTCTATCAATCAATGAAGACAAATTGAATTCTAGAGTGAAAACCGCAGCCCATTGTTTTTGGTTTGAACCACTTTCTCCAATGTGCTGATTTCCAGCTGCGACTGCCCTTGCGAAGACATTCATAATTCTCATCTAAAAATAAGTTAAGAGACAGAAAATCTGTTGTGTGATAAGGAAGGGGATGAGAGCACATAAATTTAAAAGATACCATGCACAAGAAACGAAGTCTCTTGGATTTCCAAGTAACTATCTTGAGCCTCTGCCAAACATCCGCAATACGCGCAAATTGCGCAAATCGCGCTGAAAACGCTTCCATTATCATCGAAGTAAAAAGATGCCGAGGCTTCCGAAATCCCTAGGACGACCTTATTAAGATTGGGTCTTGCAACTTTGCAACTTCATCATAGAGCTGGGACACCGGCACGACAAGATGAAAAGAACGATATAATCCATGTTCAAATACTCTTCATATACCCACACACTCCTAATATACAATCCACCCATCCCACCTTATGCACCACCATGCAAGCTATTGTTACAGACTCGTCCCTGATCATTCACTTCACTTCACTTGGTCTCCACCTGCGTCTCCGCATGATGAACCTCCACCAACTCCTCATCATCACCTTCCTTCACCGCGCCCTTCTCAGCATTAGCCTCTACATCTGCTTCCGCCATTGCCACATGCACGACCTCCTCATCCTCATCATCATCCTCTAGACTCGTCCTCCGCTTCGCCTCAGTTGTAGCACTCAGCCTCCTTTTTCCCTTATACTCGCCCTCTCCATCACCACCGAACCCTCTCCCCTCATCAGAATCATCGCTATCATCGCTCTGTATATCATCGTCATTAGCACTATTCTCGCCCCTGCCATGGCTACTACTACGGTGGTTATACGACGAGGAAGGGTGTCCGTTCTGACTACTACTGTCCTCGCCACCAACAGCGAAATGGCTGCCGCCTTTGGGACTGCTGCTGCCTGTGTTGAAAGGCCACATGGACGGGAAGGCTGCTCTTCCAAGGCCCGTGAACGACGACGTGGTGACGGAAGAGGTGGTAGAAGACAAAATGCTCGCGAGGTGGTTGCTGGGGATACCCACATGCTTACTGCCGTTGGCCTGCTCTTCGTCCTTGCCTGAAGATCCTAGTAGACCTCTCCCGTCATCTTCACCTTCCAGGTCCCCGATGGAGAAGTCTCCGTCGTGGTCATCATTATCTGAATCGTCGTCCTCTTCTGTGGCGAAGGGGTTCAGATTCTTCTGATGCTCAACCTCCTCCTGCTTGTTTCCGTTCTCGTTGTTGTTTTCCGCATTGTGTTTGTGCAGAGCTAACCGAGCAGCTAGCTGGCGACGAGCACGAGAAGGCGTGATGTTCAAAGGGGGTGGGGGTGGAGGCGGTACTGAAGGAGGGTCAAGATCGGAACTCGTTGCTGTAGTTGTTGATGGCGTCGATATGTATCTCGAGAACTAGAGAAAAACAATTCGTCAGTATTTTATAATCCTCCTGTCACACCTGGCACGAAGTCCGCTCAGTGGAGCAGTCATCAATCATTCTCGGCAATCAATCGCAAGTGAGAGACATGTTCATAAATCTAGATTTAAGAACTCATCTCCCAATGTTGACAAGATCGGCTGTCAGAGACCCAAAGAAAACGCCGGTAGTGATGCAAAATAATGTACAAGAAAATGAAATAGAGTTCATTCGTCCCGGACTCCTCCCTCAGGAAACAAGGGGGTCTCGCGATCGAGTTGCTCCAAATATTCGTAATCGACTTCTTCTTCGTCGAACTTGTCAAGATTGGGGGCTGGAGGAACAGAATGACCCACTTCAGCCGCGCCACTATTATTCCTTCCACCTTCTTCATCATTATCTTCGTCCATTTCGTCATCCTCTTCGTCGCTCGAGCTGCCGAAACCACTGAGAAGGGTGCCGCTGCTAAGAGTAAATGCCGATGTGCCATTTCCATTCGCCAGATCAATGGTGTCGAGTCCGGCTGCTCCATTCAGTCCAGCTTCTGCTAAGGCGGACGAACCGCCGAAATTGTTGGCTGCGTTCACTGCGTTCATGACAGCTTGACGAGGGCCAACAGACATGTCTGGTCTCACACCTCCAAGGATGGCATTGTCTCGCTCTCTTGTTTCAGCCAGAGTTACCTCAACGTACGTGATCCATTCGCCGTTCATCACCTTCTCCAAGACAGAATCCGACAGAAGCTCGGGTGGATGTCGCTCCGTGAATTTTACGACCTCCTCGGCGATGAGGGTCAGGTGACCCATATATCCCAGCCTCATCCGGTTCTTTTCTTGAGCTTCATCGCTCTTTCTCTGGCCATCAACAATGCGCATAGTGATATCGCCAGTCTCGAAAAGATCAATTGCGAGTGATCGATTAAATCCTCGATCCATCGGGCCATTGAAGACCTGCTGAACAACATCGTATACCACATTATGTAGAAAGTTATTCCATGGGAAACGGAAAAAGAAATCCTATCTGAATTAGTTCACTGCTAGCATCATCCGTAATCAAGACTCACCAAGATAGTTGGAACAACTTTGTGCTCCACGAATTGCATCTTGAGGAAGTCTCCAACAACAGGAGTGATCCGGCTTTCTTCAGCAGCTTGGTTGTGCTCATCCGTATTGGCCATAGCGATCAGTTGAGAACTATCGCCGGCTTCGCCCATTGTCGTGTCAAGGCTCTCGAGGCTGGCGCCCACTTCTGGCACCGGTGGTGGTACTTCCTGTTGCTCTGGCTCACTCTTTTTTGCAAACAGTGGTGCAGGAACATCTTCTGGTCGGGCAACATCTAATGGATCCGGCATTGGAGTTTCATCTGTTGCAATAGGATCATGCGACTCGGCGTGTTCTTCTTTTGGAGGGCTGTCGGCCGATTCTTCTGACGTCTCTGGTGAAGGCTTGTTCGACTCACCTGAAGAAGGCTCGCTATCTTCGACATCTACGCTTTCAACTGACGGAGGTGGGGAGGTCATGGGAGTGTCTTCTTGTTGAAGATCGAGAGATCCGACTTGCTGAGACAGCTCCTTGGTAGGCGACAGTGGTAACACAGTCATATCTGGCTCCTCCATTTGATGTGTATGGTCCATCTCTTCGAGTTTTAATCGTGGTGAACTTAATGGCTCGTCCACAAACTCTTCGTCATCTTTGTCCATGAAGGACAGTGGCGCAGGAGTGGGAGTCAAATTATTATCCTCGCCCTCATGTTTCACGTCGAATCTCTCGTCGAAGTCGTCCTTGCTGTCGTCCTCAGTTGAGTGATTGACTTCTTCGAAACCATCGTCGTCGGAAGCATTCTGGACTTCAAGTTTTCGAGTTCCTTCAGGAGATCCTAGGCGAGTTTGAGTCGAAGATTTCATGGTGAGATCTTCACCACTGGAATGATTGGAGGGGTTTGCCGCAACACCCAATTTGCCTTCCGCCTTCAGTCTCTCGCGTTCCATATCTCTTGATTTGACGAATTCTTCACTCCCAACCTCGTTCAAGAGACCCATGTTGCTGCAGTGTAGGAGCTCAGCCATCAATTCGCAAGTCTTAAATCTATCAAATCCTAATGGTTCGATCTTCCCACCGAATGCTGCGCTGAGTTCCTTTCTCCGAATGGTGACAGGTCCGTCGCCACCTCCAATTGTATGGTTTGGACTCAGAATCAACTCCATAAAGTCTGGAACTCGTTGGGCGAACATGCGAAGAAGTGTGCCAAGGTAAATTGGATCTCGGGAGGAAGGAACAGAATTCGCTTCTGCCCCAACGTCTGGGTCGTAATCGGAGTTGTTCTTGCGGATGACCTCAATCACAATTCCAACGCCAACCGTCAAAGGATTACCTCCTTTAAGCATATCTGATATGAGCTTCTCAATGCACGGCTGGGACACCAATTGTCTGGTCAACTCATTCGGACCGATACAGGACTGCTCGTTCTGGGATGCATTCGCAGATATGGTAATAATAGCCTTTAAGAAATCTCCGGCAGAAGTTTGTGTAGCCCAAGAGTGTTCGGAAGAGAGGAATGATAGCAAGATTGGCATTAGGTCCTGAGAATGCAGCCACTGTAAGATTGTTAGCCAGAAATCTGCTATTGAGCTGCCACTTGCTTACGTCAACTATGCCTTGTCCACCCTCTGCCTTCTCCAAACTTATGATCTTCAAAAGCAAATCCATAACCATAGGTGAATCAACATGTTGGAGCATATTCTTGACCGCTCCATCAATTGACTTGAAGAACTCGAGCATCTCCTCGGTTTTCTTGTCGAGTAGGGCTTCGTTGACCTTAGTAAAATAACTGGCTTGTAGAGGATCAAGAGGTGGAGGCAACTTGAGGAATTCCCAGAATTTCCGTAGAAGAGTTTGGTTTTCCATCAAGGATTCGCATATTGACCAGTTGTCAGAAGACAATACCTCAGCAGAGACGTAGGCATAACGATTTCGTTTCTTTTCCTTCTCATCTTCGTCTTCTGGAGGCGGCCAGGTCGCTGAGAAACGTTCCTTTCCTTTCCCTTCTGTTTCTTTAGCTTGTTCCTCGGTAGCTTCCTCCTCCGAAGCAACGACCTCTAATTTGGGCGCTACAACGTATTCTAGGAGTCTCTCTAGGATCTTGTCTTCCCTCAAATACTCAATGAGTTTGGTGTTATGTTGCTTGAGCTCTTGTATCAGGTCGCTCTCATCCAACAGCTCTTCGAGTGTAACATCGGGCTTGTCGAGAATTGTATCAATTGTGGAGATGTTGGCGTATCCGCCGAATCGCCAAAACATCTTGAATTATGTGACTGCACTCGTCTGCCACCGGGAATGTGGCGGTAGAGCGAGATGAATATCGTTTTGTAAGACAGGCAATAGCTGGAAGTTGGTCATGCGAGGTACGTCGTATGTCGCTAGAGCCGCCAAAGATATTTTCCCGACGAAGAAGAGCCGTTGTCAAAGGTCGCGACGCGCGCGTGGACCGTCTATCTATGTGTCGTGACTCGTAAGGGAGATGATGCTGATGCTGCTACAAAGATCCTGCGAAACATGACGTTAGCCTTGATTGTCTCTCGACTTCGGTGGCTCGGTGAGCACTGATGCCTCACACACGGCGCGGCTCAGCCCTGCGCAGAGTCTTCGGACCTGCACGGTGGACGTGTGGGGAAGGGGTGCATACAGAAGAGGATCTTGAGATCGAAAGCTATTGTACAATTGAAGAAGGTCTTGGGTCTGGTCGGGGGTCGTGTGCCGAGGGTGATGATGGACAGAGGATTTTAGTTGAGGCTCAAAGTATCATAGGGCGAAGCACTCCGTCAGGCGCAAGCGAAGATTAGAAGGTGACTGGAAGAAAGCGTCGGGTATCAAAGGAGCAACAAAATGAAGCAGAAAGTATAGAAGTACAATTCGTGAAGGGATGGGGATTGCAGATGGAGTGGTTGAGGTTTGCGAACTTCTTGATTATTTGTTTGATGAGGTCGTTGGTTTTTGCGACTGGGTTTTGCTGATATGGATGGCTATGGCTATGGCTGTTGTTCCCGCAGATCCTTGCACCAAAGCGTGCGAGGTGTGTGGCCGACAGCGCTAGACAACCCCCTTTCTTGCTCGTGGAAATAACATGAGGACAAGTAATAATGATAACGAGAAGACACACAAGATGGGAGCACAGTGTTGTTCATGGATAATAATATCTGACTCATTTTGCAAGTCATTCATCAACGTTCTCCGTGCTTCGGCTCTTCACAACTCTTCGACATTTCCATCAATGCTGCATGCCACGACGTCGTGCATGCGCGGGTACGGAGGGATGTGGAAACAAGAAAAACGTTGTGCCACTCATCACTTGCTACTTGACTTCGACAACTGGACAAGAACAGAACAATGTTTATAGTTTCAAGCGGGAATGATGTCACGGAAGGCATATATAATAACAGCTATCAGCCAGCTTAGTTAGTATTGCTATTTACGAATTGCATCTTCTCCAATCCAATCAAATGGCGGCCTTGGATAAAACTTGTAAGGCTCAACCACGTGAGTTCACCAATTTTGCCAAGACTTCGGGCCAAATGACCGTGACGAATGATACGACTTGGAGATCATATGGAGACAACAGCCTTACGACACTGAGAAGAAGCTCATTCCAAACAAGAAACATCTCCGCTGTCAGATACCCGTGTTTGATCTCATTTTGATCCACACTATTCGAGAAGACCATTCCTTATCCTGCGAAACGAAACCTAGGCAATCTTCAGCCTCGAGCTCCCAACGGCCTCGAGACATTCCACAAGCCACGCAACCCGCTGCACGTACGACTGCCTTCGCCAGGTAACAATACCACAATAACAACGCTCTCATCTCGTTACTGCCACTCTCCTTACTCGAGCACAATAACGCGCTTGTATCTCCAGTCTTCCTAGGATTCAACGGCGTTAGCCTGGTGGAACGGGCTACTCAAGAAGAAGACACTGGCGAAAGCAAGGAGACGCAGATCAAGCTTGGGCATAGAGGACAACCTGCAAGATGAATAGATTATTCGGCGCAAAGAGCACAGCTCCCAAGCCGAATCTGAATCAAGCTATCTCAAATGTACGCTCTATCCTTATCACCCCGCGACCCCGCTAATATCCATTCCAGGTCGACGACAGAGTCTCCTCGATCGATGTCAAGCTTGCTGCCATAAATGCCGAACTCCAAGGATACCAGACCAAGCTGTCGAAGATGCGCGATGGGCCGGGGAAGACTGCCATCAAGCAGAAGGCGCTGAAGGTTTTACAACGGCGGAAGATGTACGAAGGTCAAAGAGATCAATTACAACAGCAGTCCTGGAATATGGAACAAGCAGGGATGATGCAAGACAACCTGAAGAATGTTATGACGACCGTGGATGCCATGAAGCAGACAAATAAGGCTCTCAAGCAACAATATGGCAAGATAAACATCGATAAGATCGAGCGGATGCAGGATGAGATGGCGGATCTGATGGATATTGGCAATGATATCAACGAGAGCATAAGTCGGAGCTACGATATACCTGAGGATGTGGACGAGGCCGAGTTGGATGCTGAGCTCGAGGCTCTGGGTGACGAGGTCGAGTACGAGAATATGGGAGCAGAGAGTACACCGAGCTTTATGGTGGATGAGGTACCACAATTCATTGATGAGCCACCGCAGAAGACCGATCAAGTCAAGGAGGCTGCAGGATGACCTAGGGTTGGAGTATTGTCTAGTGAATAAATACTAATTCGTATGCCTGAAGCACGCTTTGCCACATTCATCTTCGTCTATGTCTTTCGCTGCTTGATCCGCCTCGCAAGTCCACAGGGCAGATAAATGTCTGTCTTCCCCTACCGCAGTTGTCCTACAATAAGTCTTGCCTCTTAGACCAACATTTGAGGCCAAACACAAACCTGCCAACCAATATCGGTCCCATTTTCCAAACTTTTGAACATCAAAAGTTCTACCACTTGAGACCGACATTCAACTCTTGCACATTACAAAATTGACCTCAAATGAGCTGTGTAACAATAAGCCAGATTTCTAGCATCACAGCAAAATGCTCTAATGCTTTTACTCTCACAGGATCGAACAACATGCACCTTCTCCGGATATATTTCCCAGCACACGGGGCAAACATTCAAAACAATGCTGGGACCACAGGCAAGAGATAAATGTCTGATCCTCTTTAGAGCCCAGTGAGGACTATCTCTGGAAAAAACAACATATTTTGGCTTTCAATTACTATGCTCTAGAAGAAATAGTACAATCAACCAATAGTCCATGACCTATACGAAAAACAAAACAATCACGTAATCCCAAAAACCCTCAACTCAAATCTCACCCCACCAAACCCCTCCCATTCGCGCGGTAAAACTCCCCTCCCATCTCGACATCTCAATCACCCCTCCACAACACCATTGGTGGAAAAGCTGCAATTATCCCGTGGGTATAAAAACAGCGGGGAAGGTGAGGCGAGATGTGGGGATCGTGATTGGAGAGACGTGAACTCACCCACTTCTTCCGTCTCATCAACGACGACGACGAAGATTCTATAAATTTCTCTTGAGGTGAAAAAGAAATTTCTTCCACTTACAATCCAAAAATCAAAGAAAGCTCTGCGAGGTTTTGTGACAAGAGGAGAAGCAACATCAGGCCATATCGGCAAACCAAAACATCCTAGTTCCGATCCCGGAGAATTCGAGAAACGACCATCCATTGATCCATCATGTCTCTCCGCAAAACCGTAACTTTAAACTCCAGCCAGAAGCTTCTGTAAGACATTCTCTCCTCGATCCGTGATTCTATGCTGACATGATCTCTCAGGACTCTAGGCTACGGTACATGGCAATCTGCTCCTGGAGAGGTCTCCGTTGGTGTATTTGAGGCTTTGAAAGCTGGATATCGACACCTTGTAAGCGTTTCGTTTCCTAGAGCTATTTACAGAGAGAGATACTGACGAGCGTTTGCAGGATCTTGCGAAGATGTGAGTCTCCACGTGACAATGCCCATTCCCCTTTCTGGAGTCCCACACCAAGCTTTCCTTGGTGCTGATACTGCAATTCTAGCTATGAGAACCAGAAGGAGGTCGCTCAAGGATTGAAGAAGGCGTTTGCTGAGATCCCAGGCCTGAAGAGAGAAGATATCTTCATTGTAAGGCCTTTTCCCACCATCGTTTAGCATATAGCTGATTGTGTCTCTTCGACTAGACCTCGAAGCTATGGAACACGTACGTATCCGTCGAATCCACAGACTCAAGTTTGGGAAGCTGATATTTCTCAGCCAGCATCGTCCCGAAGAGGTCGAAGCAGCTCTAGATGACTGCCTCGCAGAGCTCGACCTCGAGTATCTCGATGTACGTATTTGCATCTCCCTACTGCTAATCATGTTGGTAATTCCAGATAGCTCTACCTCGTCCACTGGCCCTGTGCCTTCCCACCCGCAGGAGGAAACCTCTTCCCCCTCGTTGAAGGCAAGAACCTCCCCGACGGCGACGTCGAAATCGACGACAGCGTCTCCATCGTCAAGACCTGGGAAGGTCAGTCTTTCCTCTCCTTCTCTTCTCACTCCTTACTAACAGTATCTAGCCATGCTCAAGCTCCCCAAGACCAAAGCCCGCGCAGTCGGAGTTTCTAACCACACCATCGAGCACGTGCGTCTCTCCCCTTTCTTCCCTCCCCATTAAATTCCATCCATCTAACATTCCACCAGCTCGAAACAATCATCAAAGCCACCGGCGTGACACCCACCGTCAATCAAATTGAGCGTCACCCCATGCTCCCACAACCTGAATTGATCAAGTACTGCAAAGAGAAGGGAATCCACATCACCGCTTACTCGGTTTGTCCCCTTCCTTCCTTTTGTTTTCAATAGCTAAGAAAGCCCCCATTCAGGCATTCGGCAACAACGCCTACGGCTACCCCCTCCTGATCACACGCCCCGAAATCGTCGCAATCGCGGAAAATATCTCCAAGGAGACGGGCAAGAAGATCACCGGCGCACACGTTATGTTCGTCTTTCCCTTTCCCTTTCTTTTCTTCCAACTTTCCGCTCCCATCGACCCCAGCTCTCTTTTCGCTCTGCTAACTCACCACAAAAAGACTGGCCTGGTCACAAGTCGGAGGCCACTCCGTGATCCCGAAATCCGTCACCCCGTCCCGCATCGCGGACAACTTCCAGGAGATCGAGCTTTCGAAGGAGGATGTGGCTGCGATTGATGCTATGAGCGCGAAGGGACATGAGAGGTTCAATGTTCCTTATCTTTGCAGTGAGTCTTCCTTCTCTCCCCTCGCTTTGCCATTTTGTGGATATCGTGAGGGCGGTAGATTACAAGAACGAGGAAAGAAGTGTGGAGTGAAAACACGTATGCTGATGGCGACCTTTAGACAAGCCGAGATGGGACGTTGAGATCTTTGGAGAGGAGGGCGAGAAGAGTGCTACGCACAAGATTGTGTTGGCATAAGTCTCTGGTAGAGATAGTCTAGGTACTCATCACAAAAGAAATGGAATCACGCTCTTTTGAATCATGAATTTCCCTGCCACATGAAATGTTTACTATCTCAACAACATGGAAACTCCGGTGAAGATCGATTGCAAATTAGCGGCACATATTACCAAGAAGCATTAAAGCTCGGAATGAAGCAAGTGATTTCATTCTTGAATCTAAGTTGGGTATCTAAAGCTCGTCTATGCAACTGCAAGCTAATTCTGCGAATAACCAGGTTGTTGGGTAGATGAAAAATTAATCATGCGGATTCCATAATCAAAGATATGTTACGGACTCCCATTCTGACGGCTCAAGTCTGGGATCAACCTCAAGCTGCTGCCGTTCACGTTTACAGCACTTCTGTTCATTGCTTCTCGGCGTCCGTCGATGATGCGATACTGCCCCCTGCTGTTGCATCTCTTCCAGTCAGGATGATGAGATCCTCCAGAGGTCGTCTCCCAATTAGTTTGCCTGGATGGAAAGCATTGAACGAAGCCATGACAGCCAACATCATGACTCCGTCAACGATATACAGAGAAATCTCATGCCTCATCAGAACTCCATCGTTCCCTCCCAAGAACTCGATGACTCGGAAGATTGAGCGGATGAAGATGAGGCTGCTGGCAACATACAGAGTATACATGAACTTTTGCCAATTCGGATCAGGCGATATGGCAAAGGGTAAGCGGACCATACGATAATGGAAGATGCCACTTGTCACGACAAAGATTCCGAAACAGATAATTTGGAGCAGAAGACCTGTGACGACGAGATGTTCGCCGAGGAGCATGCTCTTGGTGACCATCAGTCCACCACCTGCCAAGCGTCAGATTTTATTGTTCAGATTGGAGATGTTGTATACATGTTTTGGAGCTCACCTGCAGCTTGTACCATCAGCAAAATGGCATCACCACAGACAAATATTTTGCTGAGCCATCTAGCCGGAATTGGCGCGATCTTCTCCCCTCTGGTAAACAGGATTATACGTTCCAGAGTCATGTAGATACTGGCAGCGAACAGAGCCGGAGCCAGGAGGATGAAGATTGTCTGCACAACATAGATATTGAGGTCGTATGGGTGACTGTGGGCTAGAATTCGTCCTAGAAACCCGGTCGTGTCCACTAGATTATCCTTTCAGCCCGAAATTAGACTCTTTAGTCGAAAATGACTTACACAGTCCCCCAACGATGAAAGGTATGAAGTAGTAAGTTCGATATTTGCTAGCTTGGAAAATATGGACACAAGTCGAGACGAGGAAACAGATCATGGAGATCACGGCTGCAACGATCGAAGGGTCGTATCTGGGAGAGATTAGGTCTTGCAAAGTGGTACAGTACAATTGGAAGGCTACCTGTAGAAGACGAAAGTAGTTGGATCGTCAATTTCAGAGCGATTTGCTGATGACTGGCTTCGTGGATCCATTCTCTGGGACAACAGCGGTAGTGAAGACAGGTCTTTCGAAGAACAGGCCAGGAAATTTCAAGTTGTCAAAGGAGTGTGTTGTGGAATAATGAGTTTGCAAGAAATCGAAAAGAGTGTGGGTGAGTCAACTTGTTGAGCACAAGGAGAAACAAGAACGGGATGTTGCACGTTGGGTACATATTGAGGCAGGAATGGTTCTGGACATCGAGGGCAGGTGCAGCCGCAACTACGATGTCGTACATCGTGTATCTACTACAAAACGAAGGAACGTACTCAGTGGAAAGCACATTGAATACACAGAGTGCTCAAGGAATAAAACATAGAATAGATGTGAGGAGATTCGAACATTTTGACCCAGTCTTGAGCCGTCGCTCAGTAACGAGAACCAAATACGGCGTATGCGAGTCAGAGAACGATCTCCATGCTTCATGGAATTCATATACTCCAACCGCTTTGTCATCCCAGAAGTAACACGAAAACGAATTCAGGATATTGAGGCTGTACAATGCAAACATTGTTATTTTGACGTTGAAAGGGGCTTTTCGCTTCTCGTATTGCAACCTCCCGCCCAATGACAACATCGTGAATCCGGTGCTTATGCTCCGCCCCATCTAGCATCGTCGGCTCGGATCAGCAATCAACAGATAACCTCGTGCATCCTTCTCCTCCCCTATCGGTATCGACAGCACTCTCAGCTTCGGATACAGAGACATTTCATTCGATAGTTGAGACGACCCGAGAGAGTTCCAACATTCAGCTTCCCACCAATGACTGAACCGCCACAACGAGCCAAGGTACGGCGTCCTCATCACAAGTCCCGTAATGGCTGCGTCCCTTGCAAACAAAGGAAGGTAAAGGTATGTCGAGTCCCGTTCTTGTGCTCTACTTGTGTTGTCAATGTCTTGGTTTGGTGCAACTGAGGACAGACATCGAGATCCACCTCAGTCTCTTGTGTCCTTCCACGTGACGAGTATCATCATTCTGAACTTGAGCCTTCAGACTCGGTGTTGGAGGGGTCATTTACACTTCGTCCTCGAATCCATTTTCAAGTCTTATCCTGGATCTCCCTTTTGTCTTCTTTTCCTGTTCTCGAAACTTCTGTGCATCTTCAAGATCCGCGTCAAATCTGCATGTTTCTACTTTCTGTCACTTTCCACCCCTTCTCGTTATATAACATCAATTTAAGTTCTCACATAATTCTATAGTGCGATGAAGAGAAACCCGTTTGCAAGAAATGTCAGCTATACGGAACATCATGCAGTTTCCTACAGACATATCCTATGCACAAACTGCCCCCACCGACAGCACCACCAGCACCACCAGCAGAACCGCCTGCAGAAGCAGCAAAGTCACCATCGAGGCAACCTACTATACAATCCATGCTCACTCCTGAAGCGGCCACATCCTCTTCCCTCTCAAGTCCAAAACTATCGCCAGGATTTTCAGATTCAAACTACCTCTCTCCTTCAGGCGGCAACTTTTCGATGCTTGACCTCGAACTTCTCCATTTCTACACTACGGTCTCTATCAACGAGTTCCTTGACAACAACACCTACGTACAACTATTCGGACAAGCGGTTGTCCATCAGGCTTTCCAACACCAATTCCTGATGCACGAGCTATTATCAGTTTCGGCGCTCCACCTTGCACATCTTCGTCCGGAGAAGCGATTACTTTACGGTCATGCATCAGATGCTCATGCAGCCACTGGATTATCACTCTACCAACCTCAGATCGCAAGACTCACCTACAAGAACTGTCACGCATGTTTCGCATTCTCCACCTGGATCTGGGTTCATGCCTGGGCAGCACAAGACTTAGCCAAACCTTCGACAATATTCTTTGCTCCGAGTAACCGAGACGATGAAGATGTGCATATCAAGTGGATTGCCCTGCATCGAGGCACCAACTCGATCATCGAGACTCTTTGGCCTGTTCTCAAAGATGGGCCTTTGGGAGGAATATTCGATCCTTGGGCAGCTCTGGATCCAGCACGTCCGGATCCCTTGACGGGAGAGGAAGAACCGATCCTAACGGCCCTACCACAGATCTGGGAATCATCCGAGTCTCTCTCAATATCAGAGAAGGAGGCGTTGAATAGAAGTATCAGTAAGCTGCGACGGACATTCAGCATGTTGACGTTCAACACAAATATAAGCAAGATAGCCATTGTGATGGCTTGGTTTTCAGCCGTTCCAGACGAGTACCTGTTGATGTTGGAGAGGAAAGTTCCAGAGGCTCTGATACTTGCGATGCACTTTTGCCCTACGTTGAAGAAGATAGAGTACTTGTGGTGGGTGAAAGGGAAGGCTGAGAATCTTCTGACAACTTTGCTTGATGCATTGGGTGAGGGGTGGGACGAATGGACGAAATGGCCAAAGGAGATGGTTTTTACGGAAGGGGAGTTAACGACATGATACACGATTTTATGGAGATGAAATTCAGATTAGTAGCTCAGAGTTACATATATATTAATATCTATCATATTCATTGACATGGTTTGGGACTTGAAGACTTTCAGCACCTCCAAATTGCGGGGAACCTTAACGACGCCTACTGCCAATCGGACTTCAGCAATCTAATCTCCTATCGAGTCTACAGGGATCATGAATATCTTCAACATCTTCAGAGCTTGCCCACCATGACCTCTACATTGACATTCGTGCATCATCTCTCCTCTCTATATGCCCGGAATAAGGTCACAAGTACCATATACCTGCTCTCGCTGTCTGCGAGCTGCTTCGCGACATCATGGACGCCGTTCCATTCCGAGTCTCCAGCTGCGGACATTCTCTCGACGTTCGCCACTGCAAAGCTCCCAGAAGACCGCTGAGAAGGTAGCTGAAGAAGAGAACCATGACTCAATCGAAGCGAAAATACTCCAAAACGAATCTGCAAAGCCGACAACAAGCTCCAATGATGACCCACCAGAACAAGGAGCGATGTCTCGACGACTTTCGGAAGCTACAGAAGACGCTCTCCTCGAAGGCGGACGCGCTGGACGGAAAGCCGTTGAAGAAGCCGGGTTTTCAGAAGAATTAAAGCAAAAGCTACTTGAAAAAGTAGCAGCATCCAGCTTCCGATCCGAGAGTGCCTCTGCTTTCGCAGAAGCAGAAATGACCTCCAATGTCGGTCGTGGATCTAGAGACATTGCGGCAAGTCAAGCATGGACAGGGTCTGAGGCTCCGGAGGATACAATGCTGCGAATGCTTGATGATGCGAGGAAACCTTCGAAGCCTGGACTTAGAGGAGCTGCCAAAATCCCGAGTCCGGTGGTGGATATGAGGTTGAGGAGGGAGCCGAAGGCGAGGCCGGGACAGAGGTTGGCGAATGCGAGAGATAAGACGAGTATTTATGCTATTTCGAAAGATATGAATATGTCGGAAAAGGAGAGAGAGGCTATGAGGAAGGAATTAAAGGAGAGGTTTACTCCTGCAGCGAGGGCGATGCCTACTTCTTTCAGTGGGTTGGCTGCTTTGGCTAATGAGCGGATTGAGGATGCTATTGCTAGAGGGCAGTTCAAAGTATGCTCTTCATTACTTTCGTCCCAAGTTCACCGCTGATCAGTACTCAGAATATACCCAGAGGCAAGAAAATAGAAAGAGATACCAGAGCCGACAATCCATTCATAGATACCACAGAATACATCATGAACAAGATGATTCAGCGGCAAGAGATCGTTCCACCATGGATCGAGAAACAACAAGAGCTTGTCAAAGCTACGAATGTATTTCGAGCACGATTGAGGAATGATTGGAAACGCCATGCTGCAAGGACGATTGCAAGTCGAGGAGGCAGTTTACAAGAGCAAATGAGGACTGCAGACAGATACGCTGAAGCGGAAAGGATGTACAATCCGAAGAAGAGAGCCGTGGAACAAATTTCAGTCCCTACCAATGCGACTTCGGATCCAGTCATGGTCAGCATTATTCAAGACGTCCCAACATCGAAATCAGACAGCCCAGTGATCAAAGTTGCCGTGGAAAACAAGGACGAAAAGGTGGTACTCGCTGAAGCAAGTGTCCAAGACTCAACGACAGTTACCCCACCTGAAAGTCAAGCAGAGGTTCGACCAGAAAGCGACGCAGAGGCAACTCCAGCTCCTTTGCCAGCACTATTTCGCATTCCTTCCTGGGAAGCAGCCGAACTTTCCTACCTTAATCTCGCCATCACCAATCTCAACAGTCTAACTAGATCCTACAATCTCATGGCTCCCGAATTAGCCAAGAAGCCATACTTCTCCCTTGACCGAGAGCTCAAGTCATGCTATGCAGATGTTGCTCCTCAGCTAGCAGACGCTATCAAGGAGCGGGCTGCTAGACCAGCGAAAGATCTGGTGGAGAAGATTGGACATAGGCCTGGGAGTGTATTGGAGAGATTCTCTAGTGACACGGCGACTATCTATGATTCAAAGAGGCCGCTGTATGGGTTCAAGGAGTTTTGGAATGATTTGTGGTCGGAAAAGAGGGCTTGATGATTCGCTTCAGAATAGTTGATGCCAATCACGATTTCCCAATGTGGCTAATTCGAATATGGAAGTTACACTCCACTTATACTCTCGACTTGCGGTCTTCTTCTCTTCTATACTTGACAATTTTCTACGAGCAAACATTGCATTATCGAGTATTGTATTCTTCTTGGTTGGGCATATCTTCATCACTAACTTTGTTTGTAAACATATTTCATTGACATGGAAGAACATCCGGAACGGTCCCCTTCCCCTTCTCCAGCACCATCTTTCTCCAGTCTCCCACCTCCGAGACAATCGCACCGAGAACGAAAGCCTACCCAAAAGTCACAAAACAATACAGAATATGAGGTGCCACGAGAGAAAGCATCTAGCGAACAAGGACCTCAGACGCCCCAAGAGGACAAAGCAGATGAACACCTTTCAACTACGGTTGATGGTCGCGCTGATTCAAGATCCTCGAAGAGACGGTCGAACGTCAAATACGTCCAGCCAAGATCGAACGCCAAGACGCCTACCCCACAGACTCGGTATCAAGGGCACTTGCAGATAGAGAATGAAGAGCATGAGGAGTGGCTTCGAAATCGAGGAGGTCGAGCTACGCCATCCAGGAACAAACAGGCAAAGAAAGTAAGCCAGCGCCGGCAGACATCGCGGGTGAGCAATGCAAAGAGATTCGGGGAAGCTGCGAAAATAGCACAACCAGGAGATATTGACCCATTGGAGATTCGACAACTAATCTCCTACAAACGGCGACCATTAGGACTTCCAGTGCCTAAATATGTCAACCCCAGAATGATGCAATTCATACCTGATGTCAGTGAGAAAAGTTTTTTGGCAGATGAGATCCGTCGGGAACTTTCAGCACATCGCCAGGAAGATGAGATTCGTCTGCAATTATCCTCACTTCGCCAGGAAGCTGCTGTACTACCAGAAGGAGAGGAGCGAAATGAAGAGGCATTTCCGCTAATATCTCTAAGCCATAGCTGGGACATTGGGGACCCTGAAATCCCCCTATCACTTTCCCTGGCTGGCCATTCCGAGACGACCTGGAACAGTCAAGCCACGCAAATACAAGCTCCGTTTTTAACGGGCAAGGGCAATCGTTTAATGGAGGTAGAGTGGGACTTCATATCGCTACATCGTCGTATTACTTTCAAAAGTCGTTTCCAGGAAGCTTGCCGGGGAATGATAGTACGGGGTCTCGAAGAACGTCTCCAGGAAGCTCGTCGTCTGGAGCAACAACTTCGTCTCGAAATTGGTTACGAGGAAGAACGTGTTAGTAGACAGGATCTCCTTCGTTATGTTGGGGTATCGGTGGTATTCTAGAATGCTTTGTACTCGGTTCTTGAGCTCGTCTCGAATGTAAATCTTGTTATCAATGCCCTAGGCTGGACATTGTTAAGACTTTTTTCCAATCCACCTCAAGACAACCTTTGACGTGAGCTTTGAAAAGCAAGAATCCAGTGATTTGGAGCTTTTGGAGATCGGATGAATACCTATACTTACGGAAGTGAAGCCAAATTCCAACAGTTCCAACAATCCGTGGCTTTAGCCAGCAGTCCACAACCTCTTTGATCCTCACTCCTCATCCTTTGCAAATCAACGATCCGGCGAAATGACTTCTTCCTCTTCTAAAGCCATACCAAAAGCACCACCAGACACGGGTCCGCCATATCCGACATACGAAAGCCTCCGAGACGCCCAGAAATGGGTCCGCTCCGCCCCCAACAGCGGCCAGCTACTATTCTGGCCTCTCAACGGACCTCTTACCAGCGATCTCGCGGTCTTGTCTACTCCCTTCACGCCAGATACAAGAGAGCCGTATTACAATGAGACGAACGGTACATGGCACCCGGTCTCCAAACTGCCGATTACTGAGCCCAAAGTATCCTCTATCACCGTGCACGTGTACGAGCTGGAGCAGTGGGAGGAGAATTGGTTGGACATGCATGAAGGCTGTTCGGGAGCGGGTGGAGAGGGTGTGGAGTGGGGCATTTCGGAGCATGAAGTTGACGATGAGACGGAAGAGGTGGAGTTAGTGTTGCTGAAGTGCTGCGGGGTGGCGAGGCCCGTTGATAAAGATTACACCATAGTAGTCAAACCCACGGTAGATGGGGATGAGGGCTTTGTGACGGTGCATGATTACTTGACGGCTGTGCATCCTTAGCTTATGGTCTTGAGGGGGGAGATTCTGGCGGCGATGGGGACGGCGAATTGGAGGGATGAGCCGTTGGGGGCAGAGACGGAATTGATGGTTTATTGCGCGGCGCTAGAGCTTTTGATGATAAAGATGAGGGAGGATTGGATTAGGACCGCGAAGGGGAGCGTGTTAATAGGGCGGTTTTAGCTGGAAACTAAATAGCTGGTATTAATCCATTTGTCTCGAGGAGACGGCGACTGCATATTAACTCACAAATATTTCAAGACGACGTAAGTTGTGATAATAAATCGAAACCAAAGTTAGGCAACGAAAAGATTGTTCGATCTGGACTCAAGTTCCAGTAGCCGTCGCAGTAGCACAATACGCACTCCCATAAGCAATCCAAGCACTTGCAACTGCCGTTCCACAGGCACTATTTGAGCAGTCTCGAATGCCATATTCGAAGTTGACATTGGCACAAAGACATGTTGCCACAGGCTTTGCGCATCCTAGTGCTGAGTATTGACCCAGCATGTTGTTGAAGCAGGTTTGGCCACAGGATGGCAGAGAGTTTAAGGCTGTGGTCGTTGCCGTAGCGGTGGTAGCTGCGGCTGCTGTGATGGTGCAGCTGGTGAAGCAAGAAGCCTCGTAGAGGCTGTAAGCATTGACTCCACTGTTGTTGAGGACATATGATGTAACTCCATAATGCAAGTTGCATGAAGCTCCAGCTACAAATACACATTCGTACATGTAGAAGTCGCTAGATACTTGGCGCCACATGCTTGGATACTGGCAACATAAGGGCTTCCAGAGGAATAAGCGGTGAACATGCCTGTTCCAACAAGAGCAACTGAGTCAGACGTAATCCGGCACAAAGCTCCACGCGGTACTGGAGAAGCTAAGACGATACCACTGAAGCAGCCGACTTCATAGAGACTATGCGCGTTCACTCAGGTGTTGTTTGGAACGTAGGAAGTTAAAAAAAAAAAATTCTTGAACTGCCCTCCGAGACCTTCTCAACTCCTCAAACGACCCACTCGCATACAACTATACGACTTCAAATTTCTCGGATCTTATTAAGCTTTGTATACTACAAGAACTTGCGCCTCGACAGATTATGCTGTATAGGCTGTACAAAACCACCGTGTTTCCACGACCACCGTTCCAGGAGCCGAGGAGAACAAGGTCATCCTTACTAGAGGTCGGTGATTGCATTCCTCTTCAGCAGCACGCACAAGGACTGGCAGAATCCCCAACATCACAAACCGCATCCTCAGCGGCGTGGGCACCGCGTAGTCCGTCATCCAGTGCCGGTACCTGGACCCGCCAACCAAGGGAATGGTCGCGTCCCACGGAAGTCCTGAATCTTCTTGATGCTATGTCCCTAATATGCCAGTAATCCATCTTCAAGAATGTCGCATGTAGAAGAACATATCAATCTATCCCCACTCCTTCATAGATTGTGTCGTACGATAGCGGCTAACTCAAAACATGGAGACCGCCACGCTAATTCACTGAGATGCCTTTGCCGTTGCTCTACGGGACGGATTTCTCAGAGCGCAATCGTGGGTCTCCTTACGGTTGCTGCAGCTTTTGTCGTGGATTCTCATACGGTCGGAACTCTGACGGAGAGTCAGTGACCTTGTGGTTCCCTTCTCCAAGCCTCTGCTCCTGCGAAGATCGCCAGGACTCCAATCTTTTCGCCTGTCTTGCTTCATCCGCGGGATTCCACTCTTCCACGTCGTCCGGATTCCATTCGTCATGTTCAGTCGCACGTGCGGCAGATTTTGCCTTTAATCTGGCTAAGGGTATTGTTAGCGTACGAAGAGAAGCCAGAAAAAGGGGTGGAAAGCTCTAAAAGAGCAGAGGGGTGCAATGGAGAATGGTATGAAGGCACTCACCTATAATGTTCTGGCGCAATACGTCCTCCTCTGTGGCCTTTTTCTACCAGACAAACCAAGGCCAGCGCAAACCCATGGTCTGGAGGTTGGTTCGAGTGTCAAGTCGCAATAGTAAGAAGAAATTTTGAGTTGGAGTTGATGAGGTTCAGATCGTTGGCAATGACGTTGAATGTGCGGCGGATTTGGGGTACCGCTGGTGTCTGGTCTACAACTACTAGCGCAGCCGAAAGCCCACCTGGTAGCAGTGGTAGAAGGGACGGGTAAGTATATTGTGCTAAAGATGTGGGTATTACGAATATCGTAAGGCTTCATGACCTTAGGCTTGGTCTGGACTAGTATTTCATAGTAGAACCTTAGGTATGAGTCAGGAGTATAGCGATTCAAGTAATTGGGTTCGGGAGAGTCCTTGGATCAGTTAGGATCCCATGAATATCAAAGGTCTATCTGAGTAGTATAGTGTCTCTTTTCAATGATTTGCGTTCTATGGCATTCTATTTAGACTCCTTTGGGACCCGATTTGCCTCCGCCGATATATAGTTGTGTAGAGTCATAACTTTTACACGGTAGAATCTAATAGTACGTAATCATGACTGGCTATTAGAAGAAAAATTTAGGAACGTGATTGGAGAAACTGAATAGAAGGACGATTGTAATAAGCCGCGATAAAAAGAAAGGAAGTAAAAAGTCGATCGAAATTCCTAATACAAATTACGCCAAAACTGAACCTTTTCAAAGTCCGTCTTTGGAGTCCTAATCAGTACTGTGCAGTATGGGAAATCAATGACCTTCCACGTATTTAGATTTCATATTGATTTCTCAGCTCCTCATACGAGAACACTCAGATAGCACGAATGCTATCGGTTGTTTCCATGTTGCTCATCTATGAAATTTCAAGGTGTTCTGGGTAGTCAGATGAAGTGGAGAGCAGCCGTTCTCACTCAGCCAGTCAAAACTACTGTAAGTGAGAGTAAATTCACCAGTTCTGTACTAATTTCTGGAAGGCACTCTACTTTGAGAAATGGAGCTTCTGTTCAAACCAAGTCAACGATGATAAATACAAAGAAGCCACCTTGCAAAACCTAGCTAAAACTCATAGGACCGGGGAACCTCATTCACCACGCCTTGGTGGAACACAGCCTGCATTTGATGTCGGCGCTGGTGGTGGAGACATGGATGTGGCCACTGTTCTGTCTACTTTGCCGCCGCGTCTTGGAGACCAAGTCCAAACGGAATAAGACGATTAGATGCTGGCGCTACTTCCCTAAGAATCAACGAAATAGGTACGTGCTATGATAGCACAGCAAGCGAGCTTCTCCGGCAACAGGAGCAGATGGCTTGTAAGGATTTGAGGTTTTTTTTTCTTCTTATTGATAAATGTACTTGTTCATACTGAACATTTATCTTGTTTTGGTCCGGGGCAGAATGTTGACAACGTCTAGATTCAGCATCGAATAATACTCAACCGATGCGACCAGTCAACCTGCCAGAACATCTTCAACAGCAAAAGCAACAAGTAAAACATAACCTTTAGTAAGAGCACCAGATCCAAGTTCAAGCTCAGCAATTGATATGAATCCTCGATAAGTTTCAGGAATTTTGCGACTACAGGAACTGGCTAGTATTTTCAGCGTCCGCAGGTGATGATGACCCCACACGAAGCAATACAACAGCAAGCAAAAGTATGGGGATATAAAGACGCCAAGAATCCGGGACCAAATAGTGCTCCAGCTCCACAGACAGCTTCAGGAGACATCGCACCCAAAGCCGGCACTGAGATACCCTTAAAACATACGAGCAAGTTATGCGCGTTATATACCATATCGGAAGATATATCAGGAGACCGTGGGAACAAGATCCTGTCCCGTATCAGCAAAAAGAATCGCGGTTCCGTGGAAGCAAGATTTAGGACAAGAAGCTCGTATGTAGATCACTGGGGTCTAAGATCTGTCGGGTTTACCTGCTGATTTCGCTCCGCTGAATTGATATACTCAGATTCACCGAGGTGGTGACTTTGCACTGCGCTCTTCTAGACTGATGAAGCCTCGGCCGGCCTGAGGATCTGCCGGTGGTTCGTGACTTGTACTCTTCATTTCTAGACTGAGATAGTCTGCATTAACAACCGACATCTCTGAGAAATAACAAGAAGTGCGGCGAATGATAATCGTCCATAAGAGGTTCTAATCTAGATTAGAAAGATGTATTTTGAAGGGGATCCTATTTAGGCTCCCTAAGAGCTGACTTGGTCCCCTTGAACAGAGTCGTGTAGAGGTGACAATTCTCACATAGGAAAACAAAATAGTAAGTAGACGATGATTGGCCGCTAAAAAGGAGAATATAAATGTGACTAAGTAACCTGAGTAGAGGGTGAGGCGAGTAGAGCAGAGCGGCGATGGTGACTAACCGCGTTTGTCGTCTGAGATTACCAAAGTAATCACCAACATCTGATCTCCGCACTACGCGGATCTCAGACTCTATGAAGACCATCTCAACCTCAAGAAAGCCGACGAATATTATCATTCTTCGGACACCAACCCAATCAACAACAAACCTAACCTCCAACTCAAAATCATCCACGTGCCCCACCCCCTCCTTCCCGTCCCAAATTCCCCAAATTCACCAAACCTCTCCCTTCCACCCGCTATATAAATCCAAACAAGCAAATATGAGGGAGTGCATAGTGAATGTACCGTAAAGTCCTACTGCTGCCAGGTCTGCGCTACAGGCCTGAAGGACATAAAAGGATTCGAAAGAGGAGTTCTCTTTAGAGCTCTTCTTTCCTTGTAGACAGTTATTCAACCTTCCGATTGATCTTTCCTAACACGCCAGCAATAATGACCCCGGACCTACCTACTCATGGTCAAGCTGCACTACGTCCCGGCAACGTGAATATCCGGGGAGGTGCAGATACCGGTAGCTGAGGCATTTTCCCTTCCATGTAGAAGGTGGTCTATCTCCACCATGAGCCAGGACCGCGGAAGCTCCTGTGCTATTCTAGCCGATTGTAGCTTGTCCCCGTGGTGAAGTTTATAAACGACCTAGAGCTGTAAGTTGTGCCTGTCTAGATCTTGTAGTACTAGGATGTACTCGCCGCGTATTTCCACCCTCCTCCCCGTACAGTAGGGCAGCCGAGCTGTGGTCTATTTAAGTTTTTCAACCGTCTCGCTGTACTAACCTTATCGGACAAGCTTCTCAATCACCTCTTCCCTAAGGAACAACGACATCTTTGCTCTTCTTCCAACAAACAGCAAACCTCTTCTCCTCGAGATTCACATCTTGGGGCCACACACCGACTCTCCCAATCTCCCCCAACCTTACCCCGCTACTGTATCAATCCTTCCCACCGCATCACATCACCAACCTGCATCCCGATCCCCTCACGTGCCATCCCCTGCCCTACCTATCCCCTGCGACCCAAACATCGACCACTGGGAAGCCCACCCGCCCGGCAACGCACGACCTAAACCACATACAGCTTAAAATCTCCGGGGAGTCGGCGCGAACCTTGTCTCGTCTCCAGTAAATTCGAAGAAAAAGGGGCATATCACAATTTGTGACGATCGCCGCTATTGGTTGGGGGGAGGGGACGGACCTCTTCGCAACAGGGATGGGAATCCGTGGTGAGCACCGTTGGGTGTTCGTTGGGTGGAGAGAAAATTGGAAATTTGATGGAAGAGG